AATGATGGACTTAAATTGTTTCTAAATTGCCTTATAAAAAGAGGTGTGTCCACTTACTTGCTTTTTACCTTCTAAATATGCTCTTTGACAATTCCACCTTCTTTCCCTTTAAGAAGGCATTACATTGGTGCGCATGCGCCATAGGGCCCTCCTCCTCTGCTTCTCTGTCATGTGATTACTTCCTGGTTTCGTGCATCTGACGTCATCGCGTCCCGTACACATTTACGTCATGCGTTCCAAGTGTACGTTCCACCATCGCTGATTGCCGAGGTTTAGTGATGTATGCATTTCACAATGTGTTTCATTTTGGCAAAGACTATTTGATATACTAAAGAACAGTCTCTAAATAGGAGTGTATATAAATGGGAAAGAAATATCAGGAGGGAGGAATAAAGAAAAGGTCACTGGCTGCTAACAACAATAAAACATACAAATTACATAGGTTTCAAAATAATTCATATCTTTATTTGGCTGGAGGGTGGAGACTCAGAAGAGAAAAAAAATAAAAAAATCAGTAGAGATCTATAATTTAATGGATATTCTTCTCACTATGGATGATATAAAAGCCTTAAAAAAGGGTCTAAAATTTGCACCAAATAAAGATATGAATTATTTTGAAACCTATATAGACCTTCAAAAATACATCCGAAAGATGACTCTAAAAAGATTTTTTCTAAAAAAACAAAAAGGAGATAATTTGCCCCTTAACAACATAGAAGAGAGAAGGTTTAAAAAATGTTTTGATCAATACGTTAAAAACCCTGCAACTAGGAGGACTCAATATGGATATAGATCTGTGGTGCTTTTTATATTAGTTCTCTTTTAACTTCTCTTTTTCCTTGCTTTATTTTTTTTTCACAATGTCACTTTATATAATCTTTGTTTAGCAACACATATGAGAGATTTTGAAGATCTTTTATAATACAAGAAATATATATAGGGCAAGCCATTGTGAAGGGAGTTTTTAAGAAATTTTCTAAAACTTTTACATTTACCCTAAATATTTTTTAATCCTCTTTCAAAATAAATTAATTCAATATATATATATATATATATATATTTTTTTTTTTTAAGTAACCTTTTAAAAAACCCTTATACCCACACTACTTAGTAAATTTAAGTGGCGGGTTTATATTTTTTATATAATTTCTTTGTGCTTTATTTATCCCTATAATCTATGGCTTGCCACTATGTATATAGATACATTTTATTATTTTGGTGTAAAAAAAAGAAAATAATTTGTATGTTTTATTGTTTTTAGCAGCCAGTAACCTTTTCTTTATCCCCCCTCTCCAGATATTTCTTGCCCATTTGTATACATTCCTATTCAGAGACTGTTCTTTAGTAGATCAAATGGACTTTGCGGAAATTAAATGCATCGTGGAACGCATACATCACTAAACCTCTGCTATCAGCAATGGTGGAACGTACGCTTGGAACGCATGACATCATCGTGTACAGGACGTGATGACGTCAGATACACAAAACCAGAAAGTAATAACAGAGAAGATTGGAATCAGCCGGAGGAGAGTAAAGCCACCTATAGGAACAAGATTTAAACTCATTGGGGGTTGTATGTAATAGGAAAGGAGGGAAGGAAGTTTTTTATGCACTTTGTATCCAGCACTTTTGTTTACCACTGAGAAAACGTCCCAGAGGAAGTCCCTAATAGGGATGAAACGCGTAGGACTTGGATTGACCTTGTGAATCCGTTTGATACCTGTTTTACTTGTCACTGTTTACTTCTGTGTAAGCAAATAAATGGTACATTGTGCACTTTATCTATATGGTTGCACTTTACTCTTTTTCATGAATGAGACTGACATCAGCAAAGTACAGAAATAAGAAGACTTACACCAAATGATTCCTCTCTTGCAACTGTCATTAGTCTAATACTATCCTTACCCTTTGTGTCACTTTACCCTACTCCCTCTGGCATGTAAGTTTATTGAGCAGGGCCTTCAACCCCTCTGTTCCTGTGTGTCCAACTTGTCTGGTTACAACTACATATATATAAATAATAACATGATAATAATCATAACCAAATATATCTGAAGGCTCTATATTTGGCTTTACAGTGTGAGTGGCCAATTAGCACTTAATACACACCCACAGCTGCCCACACAGTGCTGCACTATGTTGTATCATTTTTGTTTCCCGTAGCTGAATTAACCCTATATTTTGCATATGACTTCAGATCAGTCTGATCAATACAATTTAATAACTCAAGAAAGATATAATCTGTTTGACACCTCTAAAGTTCAACTACCCCTAATGTGAGCAAGTAAGGCTTCGTCGGTTTTGTGAGTGTATCATACATTTTGTCTTTAAAAATAGCTGTCTGGCTGCACTTGATTCAAAATAATTTAAATTATGTTTTATGCATCCTGCTTTATGTTTTCCATGAATATAATGCCAGAAAAATGTGCCGGCCTGATGACACTAGAAAAAAATTCCTGGCACTTAATGGTAAACAGAAACTGGAAATATTTTCAGAAGCACAACCTACATGCTGAAGCAAAAAAAAAAAAAAAAGAAAGTGCAACTAAACAGTAAATATACATTAAAAAAAAATCAACATGTTTAAAAAAAAAAATACTGTTGTGCAGTAAATTGCATTTATAAATAAGTTTTTGGAAAACAAAAAATCTATCCCCTCCTTTGCAATGTAAGCAGTTCTACTTCCTCTAAGATAAAAGAGAATATACACTAATCTTCACCCATTCCATCTTCTCTTTGAAACACTATATAGCTGGTTTGTATTCACAGCTGCATTCCCTACATGTTCCTCTTGTATTACCTTTAGGACATTTTAAGATTTACATTTGGATCAACCCAGCCTTTGTAACTATTACACGCAGATCCTACCAGAAAAATAAAATGAAATAAAAAATGCTTAGAAAAGCATGCACTTGCCTTTACCCCAAACGTAAACATCCTAGTCATTCTTTGGATTTTACTGTGTTCTTATAATTTTTAACAGCAGTTATGCTGGCCTTCCAAAAATGATCGAACCATATTTAGCTACAGTATGAGTCTAGATTTTATTCTATAATAGGACGTGCTATTTAAACAACTGTTCGTTTTTAACTTATTGTTGTATGAATGTGGAAGAACAAACTGGTCCTAAAGAACCAGCGCTTTATTCACAAGTACTACTGTAAAGACATGTGTTGTGATCCTACAAGAATGGAAATGTTACGTACAAAACAGGACAAGAAAATGAGGGGGGATCCACCCATGATCAATGGATGGAGACCACTCTTATTCACAAATACCTCCTAATATAAACGTAAAAGGAACCTTTATTTTACAAAATACAAAAAAGTAAATACTAAATTCCCAACCCCTCTACACTCTAAATATGTATAAAACGTGATAAAGTTGAAAAACTGGGTCCCCTTTGAAAACCTGAGTAATAGATCATTAAATACCACAAACAAGTGTCACAGGACTCAAAAGGTGAACAGTATATGATCATTCCAATGGGGATCAAAGTTCAACCAAAAGGGTGCCCTAGAACAGTGGTATAGGATCTAAAAGTAACGGAATGTAATAAAGTCCAGACAGGACTATTGACGTATGAAAGGGGTCTGTGAGTAGAAAGTATATCTCACTGGGACCAGCAGGCGTATAGAAGTAAATACAGAGTCGGTACCCACTGGGGCTGTAATAGAATAATGTCTAAAAACACCTAAAAACAAGGGGTTTAAGAGGTATCCCTATAACAAATGAATGTGTTCAGATTATTCCCTTAATAAATAGGAGCTATCTGGTAACACATATAAATAGGTGTTGCAAATGCCGACTAGTGGCTACTGGCTAGGTGTGCTCACTGCAGTCACAAAGAAAAGACTTACAAAGTGAAAGCCAATAATGCTTGCCATAAGGCCCCTCAAGCAGTAGGAGAGGTGGGCAAGCGTATTGTGGAAAATGTCCTAAAAAAAAAGTGCCCCCCCCCCCCAGTCGCGAGTGAACGGGGTTGTAGGGACAAGGAGAAGTAGGAGAGCATAACTTCTGAGGTACTAAAGTAGATAAGCAACACCCTAGTGCGCCCTAGACTGGCTATCCCAGAGGTAAACCGGAATAAGTGACTGCTGCTTCAAGGCAGCCTAACGCTGTCCCTATGGATCTAAAGAGCCACTTAAGTACAAGTTAGAGTTACAGACATCGTGGGAACCCAGGTGAGTAAATTAAATGCATAGGTAAATCTCTAAATCAAAGTGCATCGGCATAATCAAGCTGGACGCGCGTTTCGGCATTATCACACGCCTTTGTCAAGAGTTAAACGGCAAACTGCAATAGGAGCTCGTAATAAAGGGACATTTAGATACACCCCTTGTCTCGATCGTGGCCAATGCCCATTGACGAACCACTGGGGGCTGACCTAAAAGCGAACAGGTATACTCCCCTTAGCCCCTCAACCAATCAGGGAGGAGTAGGTGTGAAGATACCCCGGTCAGGCCAATGGTAAATGTTAACACTATATTCAGTGATACTAAAGCGTATTGGGGGCAAGTGCACTGATTATGGCCTAAGGGTATAGAGAAAAAAAATATATATATATATATATATCTCCGTGGGGGGAAGGAAAGGGATGGGTGCCATAGACACCCAGCAATTGTACAGTGCATGGTTTAAATGCACAGTTTAAATGCCCCGTAAAGGGGCTGGATGAAAAGGCTGTTCCCTCCACTTGTCACCATCGGCCAATCAGGTAGTGATGGGCGTGAACAGATATCTCTGTCTAACCAATGGGGAAGGTCAAGTTGCTCCATTCATTAATGCTGGCGAGTATAGTGACAAGCCACCCATGGGGAAGTGCAAAATAGATAGAGTAAGAGTGTATCAACAACGAAAAAGGTATCCAGCAAACCAGCAAAGAAGGTACACCAATCCTGCAGAGTTACAGTTTAAAAAGTGAGTAATATTGAAAGATTGTTTCCCTTCACTATCACTCACCCTCTTAGAATTTCTGAGTATATGTTTACAGGCCACAGCTATAGGACCCTACAGGGGTTTTGCGTCCAAGCCAGGTGGTTGTTGGATTCTGTTTTGCGCCTGCGCAAATAGGATGTTGCTATGCACATGCGCGGCAGTTTGCCGTTATGCGCATGCGTGAGCGGGATGTTACTACGTGCATGTGCGGCACTCATAGTACGCATGTGCGAATAGGATGTTGCTATGCGCATGCGCGGCAGTTTGCCGTTATGCGCATGCGTGAGCGGGATGTTACTACGCGCATGTGCGGCACTCATAGTACGCATGCGCAGACTATCGTTGCGCGCGGCAGTGGCTATGATGCCTGTGGAGCATATTTATACAGGTGTTTGTTCTTCCAATAAATAAGATGGCGGTTATGGACACCGGATAAAGTGGGAGTACACCTATTGTCTATAGAGGTTGGTTATTAGAATATTAACATCTGTTATTATTATTTTAGGTCCCATGACTCTTTTTACTCCATATATGTTTTCAGTGCACACAATCAGATTTGATATTACAATGTTACTATTAAAATATTGTGCCAGGACTTGAGGTGATGATGTCACTTCCTGAGCTGGTAACAATTTTATGCTGGTGGCCATCAGCTGTAAGAGGGCTTTATAAGCAGACACATTTGAACATGGATACAGGTACCCTTGATAAAGGCAGCCAGTTGGTGCCGAAACGTTGGGGGGTTTGGTGTTTCTGTCTTGAGGCTTGTAAGAATTTTTGTTGTAATTTATTATTATTTTATTGTATTTGCCCTTACTTCTGTCACTTTGTTTATTTTTTCTTATATGTTTTCACTCTGGTACTTTTTTGTACATAATAAAGCTAAGTTTTTTGAGATTGTCATAGTGTGCATTCTATATTCTATATACCACTGCGCTATAAGCACACTATTATATGCTTCAATTGGACTCTCAGATATGAAGTGCACCGCATGGCCGCAAATGTACTATTTAGCAGATTAGCACCCAGAAAATGTGAATTTTTACAACTGAGCTGTAAGCACACTATTAGACGCTTCGATTTGACTCTCAGATATGAAGTGCACCCCACTAAAATACTATTTAGCAGTTTAGCACCCAAATAATTTTAAGTTTTAAAACTGCAACGTGACAGCAGTATTTGACGATTCAATTTGACTCTCAGATATGAAGTGCAACCCACTAATGTACTATTTAGCACCAAAAAAAAAGACTTTTTAAAACTCTGATGTAACCGCAGTATTTGAAGCTTCTATTTGACTCTCAGATATGAAGTGCACCCCACCCCACTAATGTACTAGCTTGCAGAATTCTTTTCCTAAGCTGTCCCTATCAGCGGCAGCATCCTCTCCCTACACTAATAAGACTGCACGTGCTTGCGGCGCTACGCAACTCCAGCTTATATATAGAGGCTGGGTCACATGCTGCACTGGCCAATCACAGCCATGCCATTAGTAGGCATGGCTATGATGGCTTCTAAGGGCACACAAATCAAACGCTTGTTGATTGGCTGCCCTGCAGCCTTTGAAAACGCGCCATTAAATCGCCAAACACCGAATTCCAACCCGAACATACAGTGATATGTCCGTGTTCGGGTCTGGGGTCCAAAAAAACCTAATGTTTGGTACGAACCAGAACTTTACAGTACGGGTTCGCTCAACTCTATACTAGACTAATATTCATTTGTCCAAACTATTTTATTTGTAAACTCCAGTGTGTGGAGCCATTAGTTGAAACAGTAAAGTGTTCCCTTCGGCGCTCAAAAAAAAAAAACACATGAAAAGTTTGGGAAATAAAGTTACAAAACTGGGAACAATTGCTAGTGGTAAGTTTTTGTGAAAAAAAGGATGTCCTAATGCCAACTGCTATACATGATTCTAAACTTGTGCCAGTCTCTTTCTGTAGGAACAGCTAGGTTGTAAGAAGAACAAGTGTATACTGGCATTCAACATGCACATGGTGTATGGATCTAATTGATTAACTTTTATAAATGTACCCAATGCCCAGAAATATAAAGTAGCAATATTATTGATACAGAGTACTGAATTTGCACTATTGAAAAAGGCAAAATCCCAAAAGTGAGCATTGCTACCATAATGATGAAACTAATATCTAAGTCTTTTTATTAATGTACATGCTTATTTAGAGGCACCTGAGAAACACAAATTTAGCCCAGTGAGTTGTTCATCCCGAAATTGCCCAAAAATGTATTCTCCAAAAGCCCTGTAAAGTTTCTTACAAGAATAAGAAAAGGAATGACAATGGATACTGTTCATTACGTTACAGACTATGCAATGGCAACTGCTGCAAGATTTCTTATACATCAATTACATTTGACTAAGCACTAGACTAGAGAGAGGAAAAGATGCAAGAGGTAACATTCTTTCACAGGAATTAGAGAAGTCAACTCTTCCTTCTAATAACACTATCTAAGAAAGCAATAAGTTCCTAACTCGTAAAATATCTTGCTCTCATACTTTAAAAACAACCTCTCATTAGACCCTTTAACTTTCGTCTCATGGTTTTCACACAAAAGAGATGATGTCGTTCTTCCTTCTAAGAATACCATCCTAGGATAGTAGTGGATTGATAACTGGTTATCATTCTTTGAAACCAATCCCCTCAATAGCAACCATAAACGTGGTTCAGATATATGGGAACTTGGTTACCTCATCACACTAGCAACAAACTCTTTTACAAACATTTACCAAATTGTCACTGTGACTAGAGTATGTCGAATCCAAATTAGAACTCTTTATAACCCTATGAAACAAGCTCATTCATCAGTCTAGAACATTTTATCACCTAAATATTTCTGTAAAGGATAAAGTAAAACATAGTTTTGTACATTTACACAATTTAATGGTTTTCATTATTCCTAAAAACAATCCGCATGTAAAATTGCTATTTTATGTGTGAAATATAAATGTTATGCTGGGTTTCGTTTAGCATGATAATTTGGTAATGAAGGTTTGGTAATACATTCTAGGCAATAATATTATGTTACTAGCATGCAAAATGAAGACAATCTTACAAAAACCCAAGATTGGTTTGAAATTCAGAAACACTTTTTTTATCCTTTTTTACCTTTTGTTTTTATAAAGGATGTAAAAGAGTAATGTAATAATGAATGCATGGGCAGCATCCCCAATTACAAACTGCAATCCACTCACAACGGCATATAGTAGTACACTCAAATAAATAGAGATTAATATCTATTATGACAAATGGATGGAAACCACCCTGGAGTGTTCATTTATTTCAGACATTCCACAATGAGATGAAATAAGTTGAATGTGCATGCAATATTGTATTATATGTACCATTTAAAATTAGTAGGTACAATTATATTACACTCATTAAATTTGAGAGATAAAATCTTGTCATGGGGTAGCATAATTAGGCATGTTCAAAACCCGTAGCAACCTCATTAATGCTTTGTGTGCCTGACAATTAATGCATTAAAGATATTTTTAGAATAAGAAAAGACATTATATTTTATTGCAGTCATTATATACATCTTTGGAAGAATCCTATAATCATTTCAGGAAGCCAACAATGAAATATTTGGTTACAAGACAATCATTGATCATGCCATGTCCGCGAACAGCATTAAACAAATATTACATTTATCAAATAGATATTTTTATTTTCTTTGTGTTTCTGCAAAATTCCAAATATGGAACTTATCAATGAAGTTCGAAACAGCTATCACAATAACAGACATCCCGAAATGTGATATTTTCCCTGCGGTTACCTTACTAGAGCAAATGGATTATTTATTTCTGTGTATGTCCACTTTTTCTGGCATATCGTGTTGTGCTTTCTTTTTCTTTTATTTTTTTGTTCTCTGGAGTATATTTTCATATTTATTATATAAATACATTTTGGCTTCAGCTGACAATGTTTTAACCTTCTGACCAATCCTCATGTCAGACCCCATACTGTGACATAAAATACCATCCACATCTTCTAAAAGTTTTGAAGGAGTACGTGTCTGAAATAGTAATATATTACGGGACTTATTTGAAAACCTTAAATCTTTATATGCTCTTCTCATGAAACACTTTATGAATTAATAAAAATAAATACATATATAAATACATAATAAATAGAGCCCAAGTTTGAAATTGTAAGATAAGGTATAAGAAAATGATGGCAATTCTTCAACTTTGCCACATTTCTTTTTAGAATTCAAACATAGAAACATAAAATGTGACAGTAGATAAGAGCCATTCGGCACATCTAGTCTGCCCAATTTTCTAAATACATTTGTTAGTTTCCTATATCTAGGATAGCCTTATGCCTATCCCATGCATTCTTAAACTCCCTCACTGTGTTAACCTTTACCTCTTCAGCTGGAAGACTATTTGATGAATCCATTACCCTCTCATTAAAGTAATACTTCCTGATATTATTTTTAATCCTTTGCCCCTCTAATTTAAGACTATGTCCTGTTGTTGTGGTAGTTTTTCTTATTTTAAATGTAGTCTTCTCCTTTACTGTGTTGAATCCCTTTATGTATTTAAATGTTTCTATCATATCCCCCCTGTCTTGTCTTTCCTCCAAGCTATACATGTTAAGTTTGCATACACATATACAGAGTTTGTCTTTTTTTGTCTTCTCATTTTTTGATACTGCAATAATTTTCTACAAACAGATTATATCAACATAATGTTAAGGTAAAGGCAGATGCAAAATATTCCTGATTCCATTACTTTATGTGTTTTCATTGCAGTTCTAGAACATTGAACCCTATTCAATTAAGAGCACTTTATTGATGTCATGTATGTTACTCTAGCAAAAACTAGCCAATTTTATAACTATCAGGTTCTCCAATACAGTATCATTTTTTTTATTTAAAGTTTCCAATATTTTCATTTTTATTCTATACTAAGAATTATTTTCTTACCAGAGTTGAATTGAAGATATTGATATTTTAGAAGTAAGTATAATCATAGTTTTATAACATGTACTATATAGCCACTGGTTTTATGTGTAGCCGTGTTGAAGCTTAGAAAGAAAAACAATCTGTAGAATGATAACAGTCTGCAAATATGCACAGTTTATGACATTACCCAGATGTTGGGTGTGACATCTTCAATGAGAACAACATAACCTAACATATGAACTCAGTGTGATTACTCTGAATTTAAATGATAATATGCTGTTAGCTCTCTAATATAAATAAAATAATACATGCATGGTACTTTATATCGTGTTACTACTCACAGCACATGTTTGCTATCTAGCCAGAGTTAAGCATTCCAAATAATTTTTTGAAGTCTACA